ATTTATTCACTATAAGCGGATTAAATCAAAATCATAAATCAATTATTTTTTTTTTATGTTAGAAGTTTCCGCAAGGCCCAGCGGCCTTGTAAAAGTTTTATTAATAACGAAAATAAAACGTACATATAAGAGGGGACATATGACCTTACTTTCGAATTTATATGAATACAAAGTAATTTAAAATTAAGTCCTAAAAAAGGTTTTACTTTATGAGTGTACTTATTGGGTGCCAATAAAGATAAAAACGCCCTTTTTACATGATTCTATAACATAAGAAAAAAGACCGTAAGAATAAATTAAGAGTATTACTTTTTTATATTTATTTAAAACAAACCTATAATAAATCTAATTTATTTTGTTTGAGGATTTCTCTAAGTTCACCTTGTAGGTGTGAAAATACGTGGAGACCTTGGTGTGTGTATCTATGGCTAGACCAAAAGTTAGCTGCTTGATTTCCTTCTTGATGAATGTGTGAACTCTAGAGAAAGACAAACCCTGCAAACATTTCTGATTGACTGTAGTAAATACCATATCTGATGGGAACCTTTTTGGTCATGCTGGATCATTTGAACAACCACCTTAGCATCCAGTTCTATCCACACTCTCGACACGTAAGACATAAAAAACCCTTTTCGGCCATTAGTTCTACTTGCAATGAATTGTTTGGGCCAAAATTTTCAAAAAAAAAAAAAAATCAAAGTACCTGTATAGTCTCTAAGAATGCCTCCTCCAGCAGCTTTCTAAAAATGTTCTTTTGAGTTGTAATCAACATTCAGCTTAAATTCATCTGTCAATGGTTTAATCCAACATATAATTTGTGGTGGGACTTGTCTTTGTTGGGGGTAATGAAAACTGCAATGAGTCGCAATATCTAAGTCTCCCTCCCATTGCCACCTATGTAAAAAGTTGCCTAAGCAGTTTCAAAACCCTCCATATGACTCTATCAGAATACATGCTAAGTCTTCTATGTTTCTTATCATTTCTTTCAACCCATAAAAACCAACAATGGCAGCAATATACAAATGTGACCAGGCATGGTGTAATCTCTAGAGTAGTACCATGAGTATAGAACATGAATAACATTTGAAGGATTAGTAACATAAATTTGTAAGAATTTTGTAAAATAATTCCAAACTTGTGTTGCTGTCAGACTCTCCCATAGGACATGCAATAAAGATTCCTCTTATTGGCAACAAAGACATTTAGATGTTAAATGGATGCCTTTGGTTTTCATTTGTCATTTTTTTATTTATATTATATAATTTTTTTTATTTTTTGTTACATACTATCAAATCCTTATGCTTTTTATTTTAGGTTGAATAGGTTTTTATGATTTTATTAATTAAAATGTCATTTGTCATTTTAGATCACATAATATTAATGAAGTATATCGACATGTTGCAATGAATTATGATATTATATGTTAATATGATATAATAATATGATTACATAACATTTTTCATTCTTCACCTCAATTTCACTTTAATAGCATATGATATAAACTGGTAATCAATTGTTAATTATAAAACCTTATTTGATACAACATAAGAAAAATAATTTGATTGAAGATAACAAAAAAATAAAACTTTCTTTTTAAGTAATTGAAAAACTTTTTAAATTGTTATATATATATATATATATTAAATGATAATATATTAGAGTGCTAATTGAGGTAAAAGAAGTGGGAAAAACATTATCTTAAAAGTGATAAAAGTGATAAAAACATTACAGTAGATCTTTTGATTCGAATTATTGTAGATTTATTATCTCTTACATTTAAATTTTGAGTAAATGACACCGATTATACCCTAATTTAAGAGGCACGATCTTTTTTATTTCGAACTATAAATATTATTTGCAATCAAGTCCCTTGCCATTAAAATTACCAGAAGTCTTTTAGAAATTGTCACATAGAAATACCTCGAATGTTAGCTTCCATTTATTTTTGTGATATCAATTTTTCTCATATTACATTTTATAATTTTTTTTATTCTCAATTAGTATTTGATGATATATATACACATTTCATTTAACACTTTTGTGAATAATTTTTGTTCTCTCAAAAGATTACGTTATTAAGTTTTCTTATTAAAATTACAAAAACGTCCTTAACTTTGGCCTCGCATCCAAGTAAAGATCTGCTTGCTAGAGAATTTTTATAGACAAACTTTATTCCTGCTTGTCAAAATTGAGTACAAATTATGCTCTCTTTGTTTAAAAAATCAAAAGTACTTTAATTATTATACATCATTGATTTGCATGATCCTTTGGTCAAATTAAAGAAGTAGAACATTATACTTATTTAGAGAATTCAATTTAAAATTTTCTTACTTCAAAATTGTACATGTTAAATAAATAAATTCTTTTTTTTTTGAGGAAGATAAATAAAAAGGTTAACAGTAAATTATTATATTTAATTTAATGGATTTTATAGTGAATATATAAATCCCAGAGTTTTTTAACTCCATAATATGTGTATGAGAGATGACTAATAATTAAACCACTTCTTTTGTTCGTTTTTGACAGCAATTATAAGCAAAAATTTTAATTAAAATCAAATAATTAATATATTTGTATCTCTATATAAATATTACACATTATATTCATGAAAGAAAGTAATTAAACAAACCAACGTAATAGATAGTCTTTTGTGTAAAATTGGCTTCTCTTTAGGCAATCCAAATTTATATCCTCTTTTTTTTTTTATAGGTTGGTTAATATTATATAATTTATAATAAAAAGGACATCAAATACACTAAATTTGAAATAAAAAATTAATCACTATTTAGTTTGAAATGAAAAATGATATTATTCCCGTTCTCATTTTCTTTGTCCATCATTCTTTTTTCTTTTTAAAATGTTTCAAAGTTATGTCATTTTTACTTTTTTTGAACAACTAGCACATTTATTATTTTTTATATTTCGAATTATTTTCATATATATTTTTAATAGTTTTTTGGCATAAGAAACCCTAAAATATCAATTCTACAAAACATTAAAATTTTTATATAAAATAGACCATAAATAATGATTTTTTATTAATTTCTATAAAAATAAAATCAGAAGTATGGAAATGAGACAGAAGGAATACTAGATAGTAGAATATAAGATAAATCTAATGATAAACTCTTAAATTATTTTAATGGCACAAGGATAACAACAATATCCTATTTTTATTTACTAATTATAAGATTATTAAGTGTCATTTGACCTTATGATTAGAGTTAACTTTAATTTCAAAAATTTCAATTGTGATGAGTTTTTTTGTGAATCGCAGACATAAATTATGATTGCAATTTCTTACTATCAAACTTAAGAATAGTAACAACCAAGATTATGACACTTGGGAGGTCCCTAATGTGTTAAGGATTGGGGCTTAGGTTCCTAGTTTCATCAGTGTGCTGTCTTGGTAAGCGTTTTGTTTCGGTTCCTACTTTTGTTTTTGGAATATTAGGAAGCTGATTTTGTTAGCATCATGATGTTTGTTACTATAGTTAGGATCTGGCATCTTTTTTGTTGTTTTGGTTGGTTGCGATGTCTCCTCTGTTCCGGAGCATCGGCAACTTCTCCTTTGATCAGTCACAATTTTTGTGAGTGGCAGTTTCGAGGTTCTTGTACAGGTTCTCTCCCCAAACCGGTTTTAAAGCCACGACAGTTTTTTGGTCAATTAAACGAAAGACTTCACATGACATCCCAAGTTTGTGATTAACAAAATCACTTTTACAAAAAAATAAAAATAATAACAATTCTAAACTATATCCAATAAAATAATATCTTTAATCCATATATATATATATATATATATAATTAGTACCTTGTGGATAACTTTTTTTTAATTAACACTTTGTTGATAAGTTTTGTTATTAGACTATTAATTTTTCTTAATAAAATTACAAAAAAAAAATCTTTAACGTTTTACAAATCTTCTAATCTCGCTTGTGAAATTTTAAAAATTTCTTATACAGTGTTAAATAATTCTTCATACCAAAAGAATACCATTTATTAAGTAAGTAAAATGCTAAAATAAATTAAAGAAAATAAATTCATATTAATGCCACACCTTATAAGTATAATACTAACTGATTACCACACATTATTGCAGATATAATTTTCATTAAATAAATTTAAAAGATTATCAATATAATTTAACTTATACTTTTTCGTATGCAACCAACATATGTATATTCATTTTTTATTATTTTCTAAAATATAAATTCAGAAATTTTTATATTTTAGAATCATTCCCAAACTTACCAATGGTAAAACTAGACCCATGAGTATCTTAATACATACTTATTAATTGAAAAGGCAGTAGCGGCTGCACTTTATCATTATTATTGAAGCAACTTATTTGTAACTTATTTTGTTTTAAAGTTTTAATAATAATTTCATACGAATTTATTAATATTTAAAATAAATTATCTATTCAAAAAAACATTTTTTATTAGACACATAATTTTATTATTAATCAATTATTAATATTTCTGTTAATCTGATAATACAATAATATTGTTAAGACAATTAATCTGATAATACAATTACCTTTCATTAATTTAAAAAATTATCATTATATAAATTTTATTTTTGTCCTTATCCAAGCATTCTCTCTCCTTCTCCCACTAAATCCATTGTGGAAGGCGGGGATGGACGGCATGGAAAGTGTCCATTTGACATTCCGCGAATGGATCTAATCGCAAAAACGTTAGATCATACGTTCTTCGACCAGATCCGATCGCAAGAAACTCGTAGCCAGATCTAGCATTCTCACAGCACCGGGGAGCACTGGCGAATGTGAAATTGCGCTGGCGGGCCATGATCTAATGCTCTTGCGGCCGGATCTAGTCAAGGAGCATTAAATTTGACCGCATCCTGAGCGAAAAGAAAAAGTGAAAAGAATGGAGAAAAAAATAAAAATATTTTAGATATTTTGTATTTACTTATTAATGTCGGTAGACTATTTTCGTCTCAATATTAATGACTTATGATCAAAACTTAAAAGAGACAAATTTTTTATTTTTTTTATAAAAAAAGTATTTATTATAGGGTGAAAATGTTAAGCTACGTTTTACAGACTCCAAGAAAATTTAGAGTTTGACTTTTCCTGCAAGCATGAAAGCCTTGTAAGCTACTGATCTAACCAAATTAGAGCCACCCCAGGCACTCTCAAACTCCTTAACAACCATTTCAGACAACAAATCCACACCCTGATTTTTTGCTGTAACCACTGCAGACCAAGATCGCAACATCCCCAGAAATCCCTCAAACGACAGTTTCTTGGGTATGTCCAATGCCAGCGGTTGCCCCTCGGAACCTAAACCAACGCTCTCAAATGGGAAGGGCAGTGTCCTATAGCCATCAAATATGTACTGGATGTTGGGGTTCCAAAAAGGAAGAGTCGTGTCGTGAAAGCGCTTCATCACAGGATCAAAAGTAGGGCTAACGGCGATGTCGTTGTAGCCCCAGACAGAGAGCACACCGCCTGGCTTCCGTAAAAGCCTCGTGACAAGAGAGTAGAACTTTGGCAGATCAAACCAGTGCACGGCTTGAGCCACAGTCACCAAATCAACTGACTTTTCACCCCCGATTGAAGCTAATAATTCATCGTTGGAGATTGTTAATGCAGTATAAAGATATTTGACTCGTGGGTGCGGTATCGCGTGTTGTAATTGGGCTTCACTCACATCAGTCGCAATCACATGCTCATAGTGCTCAGCAACCTGAAAAATTAGACAATACATATTCATCAAAGAATTTACAGAACCTTCTCGGACTCATTTGGAGAGTAATTTTTTTGGATAGTTTGACTTCCTCTCGTATAACCCAATTGTGGGCTTTCACCTAGAAGTAAAATCAGAGGATGAAAATTGTGCAAGGTTAATATGACCCTTTGTAATTATCACCGTTAAATCATATGATTCATAATCCATCCACTCATAGTCTTGTAGAGGATTATGGCACAATAAAGTGGAAAATGACAGATGATGTTTGGCATATGACTACAAGAGAGGGAAAACTCACACCAATAGCAGCTTGGCCATTGCCGGTACCAGCATCCCAAGCCAGATGATGGTGAGGAGTGCGAGCTGCTAGCATCGAATACCATTCGCTTGGATAATTTGGCCTAGCATCCAAGTAAAGATCTGCTTGCTCGTCAAACAATCCTGCCATTTTCTCAGTTCTGCTGCTTTTGGGCTGTTTGGTTGTTCTGTTGCTTTTCAACTTTTGGCCTTTTGCCTTGCCTTTTTTGATAGTGTTAGGTAAGAAATGAATGTCTTCCCAGAGAATTTAATAGGCAAACTTTATTCTTGCTTGTCAAATAAAAATTTATATTCAAGTAGCAGCTGAAGCTTAGTGTCACGAGTCATGCCAGTATTCGTGGGTTCGTTTTGCGTAAAGTATTAATAATTATATAAATAAATATAAATATGATATAATTAATTAATTATCATAATCTTAAATATATATAAATATTTTTAATAAATATATAATACAACATAATACAATTAACACATTTATATAACGTGTTGAGTTAAACTTTTATATGATATGACACGATTAAAATTTAGGTGATTTATAACCTATTTACACGATATATATGATTCATACACAATTAATATGATTAAAATAAAATATGTATAAGTAAAATATGATTATATTATTCAAATTTATCATAAAATTATAAATATCTAATATTTACCAAATATAATAAAATTTAAAATCAATAAATCTTAATCATCATAAAAATATTAATATTTATATGAATCAATAAATGATTCTTACCTGTGTATGAAATGTATTTGCACGACACATGGACACGATCAAATAAATGGGTAATAGATTATATGAGTTCACGATAACATAAATAATTATACGTATCTTAGACAGGTTAAACGAGTTTGACACAATTAAGACACGATTTATTCATATTTTAATTGTATCGACATGATTAATACAGGAAATACGATTAACCTAAACTCAAACTTGCTTAAACCTTTGTCGTATTATCATGTCATATACAAAATTGTTAAGTTTAGCCATGTATTTTCAAATAAAAAAACATGTCTATTAAGTAAAAGAGGACCTTTACGTATAAAGTTTAATCTATTTATTTTTTTTTTATCATGATATTTTCTTTCATTCAATTATACTCATTACATTGACTTTTTCAACCATAAAGAGGACTCACCTTGATATGAGATAGAGATCTCACATCAGTGAAAATTTTGGTAGGCTTTGACTTTGATACCACCTATTGTGAGCTTACACTTTCAACTCAATAAACTTGCTTATTAAGTAAAGTAAAACCCTTACTTATAAGTTCAAAACCCATCTCATCGCTTTGTGATGTAAAATCTATAACTTTAATAATAGACTATAAAGCATGCTATGTTTGTCTAAAAATAAAAAATAATTTAATTATTATAAATAATTGATTTTTATGTTCCTTTAGTCAAATTAAAGATGTATAACATTATAAACATGTTAATTCAATGATAGTTGTATGTATGTCTTATTTAGAGAAGTCAATTTGATAGTTTCTGCAAAATTGTACATGATATATAAGGAAATTCTATTTTTTAGGAAGATAAAAAAGAAAGTTAAGAATAAATTATTCAATTATCATATTTAATTTAATGGATTTATAGTAAATACATAAATCTTAGAGTTTTTTAAGTCCATAATAAGTAAGTAAAGATAAGTAGTAATTAAATCATTTCTATTATTTTTTTATGAGATAATAATTTTAAGTAAAGCAATTTAACAAAAATAAAATAATTAATATATATTTATATATCTACATAAGTATTAGGGTAAAATATCTTGACTTTCTTAAAATTTGATAATAATTTCACTTGAGTTCATTAGTATTCAAAATGGTCAATGTAAACGGCATTAACAAGTAAACGCGAAATGTCTACAATATCCTTATTTTTCTCTACTCTTTTTTACTTTTTTTTTGCCTTTTCTTTCAAGTCAGTTGATGACGTTCCTTTATGCTAATCGGTCACCCCATGGCTGAATTTGGTCGAAGAGCTCTATATCGTGCCCCTTCAATGTAATCTCGCTCTCCCTAACGCTCCTTGACATCATGGGAATGCTTGATCTAGGGTTCCTTGGCCAACTTTGGCCACTAGAGCACTAGAGTTGGCATTTTCATAGCCAAATCTAGTCAAAGAACATCAAATCCAACATTCTTGTGGTTGGATCTTGTCGAGGAACGTTTGATTTGGCAGCATCAAATCCGACATTCTTGTGATTGGATCTTGTTGAGGAACGTCCGATCTAGCATTCCCTCGATCGGATCCAGTAGGAAACGTCCGATTCACACTTGCCATGTTGTCCATAACCAATGGAGAAAATCTAGTGAGAGAAAGAGAGAATGCTTGGGTAGAGAGAGAAATAAATTATAAAAAAGAAAAATTTATATTTTATATAGTGGTAATTTTTTTAAAAAAATTAAGGATAAAATTTTTTAAAAAATATTATCACATCATCAAATTAATGAAAATATTAATGGTTGATTAAGAATATGACTTATGTGTCCAACAGAAAATATTCTTTTAATATAAATTATTCATTTCAAATACTAATAAACCCGTATAAAATTATAGTCAAAACTTGAAATGATCAGCATATTTTGTCCTAAATCTTACATATTATATTCATTAAAAAATTAATAAATAAATAAATAAATTAAAAATATAATATCTAAAAAAGCCTCTAAAATATTTTGAAAATTTTAAATAAACTCTTATACTTTTATTGGGCTTAATCAAACTTTTTTACTTTGATTTTGAATAAAATAAGTCTTTGTGTTTTTATTTTAAGTCAAATAAATTTTTATAATTAATAATTGATTTAATTAAAATATCATTTATAATTTTATATTGTATAACATTGACATGATATGTTAACATATTATAATTGACGATGACGTGTCATGTTAATTTAACATAATAACATAATCATATGACATTTTTGACCCTCTACATCAACATCATATCAATGTTATGCAAATATAAAATGATAAATAATATTTTGACTAATAATAATTAATCAATTATTAATTTTAAAGGCTTATTTGATTTAAGTTAAAAATATAAAAATTTAATTGAATATAATAAAAAAACTTATTTAAAAATTTTAAAATAATTTAAGAATTTATTTAAATATTATGTCTTAATTAAATAAACGAATATAATGGATATAATTTGAAAAAAAATGTTGTGTCAACTTGACTTATTTTAGTCACGTGTGCTTCAAACACATGGCGTGTAGTGAGTCGAGCCATGTGTAGAATTTTTAGAACTCTCTCAAGCTTTCTTTTATATATAACTATAGATAAAAAATAATCTTATGGAGAAGAGGACATCAAATACCTTAAATTTGAAATGAAGGAAATAATTGCTATTTAGTTTGAAACAAAAAATGATATTATTCCCCGTTCTCATTTTCTTTGTCTATTTTTCTTTTTGAGATGTTTTAGAATATTGTGATTTTTATTTTTCTGAACACCTAACACTTTTATTATTTTTATATTTTAAATTATTTGCATAGTTTTTTTAATTTTTTTCATATTAAAACATAAAACATCAATTATATAAAAAATTAAAATTTTAATATAAAATTCACTATAATTATTTTTTCAATTTTTTTTAAAAATCAAATGATTAATACAGAAAATGAGAGGAATAGAAAATATATAGTAGAACATAAGAGAAATGTTTTAGAATTATGTGATCTTTACTTATTTTGAACGCCTAACACTTTTATTATGATTTTTATATTTCAAATCATTTTCATAGTTTTTTAATTTTTTAATATTAAAGTCATAAAACATCAATTATATAAAAAATAAAATTTTAATATAATATACACTATAATGATTTTTTAATTTTTTTTTTAAAAATCAAATGATAAATATAGAAAATGAGAGGAAAAGGATACTATATAGTAGAATATATGATAAACCTTACTCAAATAATGATATCTTTTTTTGAAAGTCAAGTCAAATAATGATATAATATCTTAAATTATTTTAATGGCACGAGAACAAGAATATATATCTTATGTTTATTTAATAATTAATACTTGATAAGATTATTGACCGTTAATTATGATGAATTTATTATTGATCGTAAATGCATACAAAAATTATGATGACAATTGCTTTCAATTACAATTAAGGATAATAACAGCAATTCTAAACTATACCAAGTAAAAAGATATCTTTAATCAAAAATCAAACTTACAATTTATTTAAAGGAAAATGAAAACGAGTTGAACTTTTTGAAATTAGATGGCATGAGCTTAAATCATCCTGATTATACGTGTTCATTATCATAAGAAAAATTGGTTAAATAATGAATTAGACAAAGTGAATTCAGTTAAATCACTTATGTTAGGTGTTCGTTTCTTGTATGTTCTTAATAATTTAATAATACATCTTTTATATTTTTTATTTTTTATTCCAAGATAATTTAATTTACCAATTATGAATTCTATTAAAGTCTAAATTTTTAATTTCAATGGTGGAAATGGTCTTATTTGAGGTCAGGGAACAATTACATGCACTCCATTTTATGTCCGTAGGGTTTGCTCTCGTGATATCTTATTGTCAATTATTTTTCAACAGAATTAATTAGAGCATCTCAAATTTTATTTTCAGATTTAAGTCTTCAATCGATTGCTTTTACTCTTTTATTTATTTACTTTTTAAAAAAAAATTGTCAAAAAAATAAAACGTAACAGCAAGAAACAACGTCAATGTTTGATTAAAAAGGAGCAAATGGTTAAGATATAACTTTTATTTAAAAAAATAATAATTCAATATAAAAGTAAATTCATATATGTTATTTTGGGTTTGTCAATTATGGATTTTGTTTAATTCTTCCAAGATAATGGTATTCATTTTTATATTCAAAACATATGTTGCTTACCAAAGTATAAAGCAAGTAATATTTAATATATACGAGTATTTAACTGGCAGTGCTTAGGATATTGGGATATGATTTTGAATAGCAATTTAAAATTTTAAACGAATATATATAAGGTTTGGATATCTATTATATAGTTTGAGTCAAAATATCTAAAAAATAAGAAGCAATACTTCACAAATTTATACGATAAATTACAAATTTGCCTTATATTTTAGAATATTCGCATGATTCCTTGGAGTAAGGGTTGACCTACATTCAGAAAAGTGGTGTCACATGATAATATTCATTAACAAAAAAAAAATATTTACACGTTATATTAGTTATCTAGAATTTTATGTAGTTAATATACTAATGAATTGAACTTATTAATTTTTTAACAATTTTATAAGGGATGGGATCCAAAACTTCAAGTTAAAATAAATTTTTTTAAAAGTTATTATTATATTAATATTTAAATATTCTATGAAAAGATAAATTTTTTTATAATTTAAGATTTTATTAAAAAGGTCAAAATATAAATTATTCTCTTTTTCAAAAAAAATTCAAATTCTATTCTTGAGATATGCAATGACAATTCTTTTGTCTTAATCCTTGGTTATGTTTTTCACTTTCTTATAACTCATATAAGTTTTAATTGTAAGTAATTTTCAACTCAAATTAAATTTTTAAATACTAAATATTTTTTGATTAATTTGATAGTTTGGATTCATAATTATTATTTTACTAATAATAAATAATTATGAGTTTTTCTTTTTTAATTTATTTTGTAGGTATATTATTTGATTATTTATTTTTTGTATTTAATTTTATGTGTTTGTAGATGTTTATATTTAATTTTGATTAATAAATAAAAAATTGTTATATTGTTAGTTGCTAAATCTATTAATTTGTTATGTAAGATCATATTTTATTTAATTTTAATATTTTAATTTATGCGAATGAGTAGTAATTTTTAACAAGTTTTTATAATTTTAGATAAATGAGTTATGAAAAAATATTTAAAAAATAAATAAATTATCTTACAAGACTCAGATTTCGAGCAGTAACAAGATTCTATTAATGATGTTATTTATTAATCTTTTAAATAAAATCGTGTTGAATTTGATTTAAGTATTCTTTACAGATTTGAATTGAGAAAAAAAGTTTTCAAATTATTATTATTATTTTAATTATAAAATCAATTAAAAAAAATTTTGATTCCGCCTTTGTCTGGGAGAACTAATCTAAGCTCCCACATTCCGAGCCAATGTCAAAAGAGACTGATCTAAGCTCAAAAACATGAGAAACAGTCCCGAGCATACACAAGAAAAATACCATGCAACATTGATACTAGATGAATCAAATATGATTCGAGAAAATTGCCCTTGTACCATCCTCAGGTTTAGGTTATAAAACATTTTTCAAGTGGTAAAAGTACTGATACAAAAAGCTTTCTAAGTTCTTATGGTTCTACATGACTGGTGAGAATCACATTGAACATAAAGAAGAAAGAAAAAGAAACGGTGCACAAAAATGCTGTTCCAAAGGGAGTCTGCATTACACCAACTAGGATAATTTTTGCTGAATTTGTTTCCCTAAATTTCCAAGCGGGCCATAACCTTTCTCTTTTACCTCTTCGCTACAGTTACAACTACTAGTGTTCAAATTTGTGCCACATTTAAGACATATACCCTTGCATCTTGAATCACAAACTGCATTAATCGTAATTTCCAAATGCACCATGTCTCTTATGTGCTTCGAAATATCAATTTCTTTTTCTTCAGGAGGAAAATAAAGCCGATCATCCCAATCGATTGAAGCATCATCATCATCTTCCCCCACCTCTGGGTTACTTCCATAAAAGGATTTAAACCCTTCCTCAAAGGTTGCACCTATGTCAATAATTTCAGGTTCTTCAATGGGCTCTTCGCTTAGCAGAAGTGAGAAGTTGGAGAATATGCCCTCAGCAGCAGGCTCACCACACCTAAAACATAAAGTTCAAGGCAGAGTCAATTAGATTGAGGACAAAAGTAAATAGAGGTAAAATTCATGCAGTTGAACAATTACAAAAGAGTGCCTTGAGCCAATGACCCCGTCACACAGATTTCTTTCTGAATATGACCAGTGGATGTAATTCGCAAAACATGAACCAAAGGGACATTTGAGGGATACAAATAAGTCACAGGAACGCAGATAAGTGATAACAATCACCCAGGTGAACATAAAGATAAACAATAAAAGAGAGAAAACCCACTCTTTCATTCCTTTATTTCTTCCCCAATCCCTGGCCCCCGTGTATATTTTTCCACATATATTTTTTTTACGTATTTAACATTTGAGCATTCTGGGCGAGTAAATACCATTTTAGTGGACATGAACTGATAGAAATTTTGTCAAGGCACCTACTTCATCTTCTTTTCATCTTGCCACATTTAACATTTAAGCTTTCATGCTAAGTAATATTATTTTAGCTTTTCATGAACCTGGAACCATGTCAATGTCAAGGGCCTGACTTCACCTTCTTCTCATCTACATCATATATTTCCATTTCCTTTCTCTTTCAATTTCTATCTTTTTCATAAAAAACTAAAAGTAGCTACGTCCATGATTGAGCCATGATAAGCCAGCTTAGCACAAGCTCACTGAAACTCCCGCTTAGTAGAGCCATATATGATTGAGCCTGGCCTAAAAGAACTAATTACTCAGCTTGGCTTTGCTTGTAAACAGAATACACCATGGCTGCCAACAGCAATGACTTTTGTCAACGCATAAAACTCAAGGCCCTATTAAACATATGATCATATAGGGATTGGATAATTTGTTAAATATCTAATCTGAGATATACAATCACATAAATGCTTTACAAACATCTAATAAAGTTTGACAAGAATGTGCTTCTATTGCTTCTATTATGAACTAACAAACACATTCCATCTCATACATAACCAGAAATGCCTTTCACACATTACAAAGTATCAATACATAACTTAGATGTGAGTATAAATACGCTAAAAAAAGACTTTTAACAATGAAATTTTTAAATAGTGAAATTGAAAAAAAAAAAGGAAAGGACATTAATAACAAATAGCAAGTTCAAAGTTGATTGGCAAACTTTAAGAAAAATCCGAGCATGAGCAATTAAAACTAATTGGGAAAAACAAAATACCTATTGCAACCGAGAGTGATGACAGTTTTAATGATCCCATCAAGCCTCATCTTTTGCTTCTTCCTCGTCACATCTATGGAGATCTGAACAGGGGTTCCATTTGGATAATCTTTCACAGCTCTTGTGACCCGCAACCCCATAACCGAAGCCCTAGTTTTTGAGATATCACTTGACAGTTTTCCTAATCCAAGCCTCTCTAAGGTTGTGCAATATTCCAAATGGGTAATAGAAGGGTTTCTCCTGTATATAACCGCTCCTTCCCACGGTGATCCTATGTCTTCAATATCTTCTTGATCTTCCCAATCAATAGTTATTGTGTTTTCCTCAGTGAAATACTCACTATTTTGGTTGATGGAATCTCTGACAGGCTTCAAAACGTTCAGTGATTTGCTTCTGAAATTATTTTGGCTATTTAGGGTCACACTCCAAGGTAATTTGCAGTGAACAACAAAAGAACACGGAATTGATAAAGCAGGTTTCCGGAATTTCTCATTACATGCTTTGAATAGATTAAATCGTGAGGGAAAAGTTACTGAGGATGATGATATTACAAGGGACATTTAGGGTCCTTAATATTACTGGAGCAAACTAATACTACAGAAAATTGATAAAGTTTTTCGGTAGACTAACTTGGATGTGGGAAAGAAAGAGGCCAAGCGATATGCAACTTGGAATTACTACAGAGGGTGAATCATGTAAAATATGGAGATAAATGATGTAAACATAACAACCCGAGTCTGCAAAAGAGCTGAGCACACATTTAAGACAAAAAATAAATAAACAAATCAGTCCATATATATAACAGAAACTAAAGATGAAGAAATGCATACTTATAATAGAATTTAGAAACAATCTAAGAATGGAACAGAACCCTTTTAACCTGATACAAACTCTTTAATCTGAATTCAATGGCAAATATAATTGCAAAATGAAAAAGGAACAATAAAACCCAACACAGGCAGCATTACAATGTAATCCTAGGGAAGGAAGCCCAGTGCTCCTGGCGAAAATTAGTTATTCATAAGATACCTGTATCTTCTAAATTTAGTTTTTTTTTTTTTGTCTCTGTTTTATTTGAACATATTATGCCCAACCAGTTCTAGCTGAGATTATCTCTAAGTTTATTTATCAGCTGATTTTATCTTTGAAATATATTAAATTAAATATTACAATTAAAACAGAGCAAAATATCAAACTACAACAAAATTGCATGAGGCAACCCAACATAATTTCAGGAGGATGAAAGTTTCATATACAGTCAACAAAAAAAAGCAGAAAGAAACCAGATATTTGGTTAATAACAACGCAAGAAAATAGATTAGACGATAGAAAAATGAAAAGATTGCTGTATTTACCTTAATAATGAATGGATAAGGAGAAATGGGAAGCTCGAGAATTGGCCTGAGAAGAGGAAAGAAAAAGGTGCTGCAAGGATAGAGGTAGATGACGAGGTAGAGAGAGTAACGAGAGAGTGGGAAAAAACTATATATCCCATTTAACACAATCTGATTTAAGTTGACCCGAAAGCACAGCCCGACCCGACTTGTATAAAATGATGCTTAATCTGATTAGCATTGCAGAAGGCTGCAGCCTCACAAGCAAATTGAACAGAGTTTCATTCTCTCACTCTTCACTCTTGAAACACTGGTACGTTCAAAGCCCACGACAATATAAAAATGTCAATGTTTCCGTCACCTCTCTCGCCTCACCCGCCACCACTTCCCTTTCCCCTTCCCTTCTTCCCTTATCTCTCCTTCCCCTGGCCGTCATCACCATGTCTTCACACCCTTTCGCCGCATTTTCCTTTGTCGGCACGCTCAAAAAATCCTCCTTCCGGTGCTTTTGCTCATTCTCCGCTACCTGTTCGAGTATGTATTGGTTCAGGCATTTCATCGAGCAGGTTTTGTGTTGGACAGTTGCTTACCTTTTAACTTAAAAATGTCTTATTGGCATGTTTTTAGATTGGAATGGCCATGTGGGGGCTGGCGAAGAGAAGTATGATGTTATTGTGGTTGGAGGAGGACACGCAGGTTGTGAAGCTGCTCTTGCGTCGGCTCGGTTGGGGGCCAAAACTCTGCTTCTCACCCTGAACATTGATCGGATTGCGTGGCAGGTTATCTTCTTCTTCGTGTTGTTTATTATCGGATCGAAGTTAAGAAATTACAGGCTATGGCACGAAATATTTGTTACTGACATAATTTGAGTTTTGTTACTTTCAGCCTTGTAATCCAGCGGTTGGTGGACTTGCAAAATCACAACTTGTGCATGAAGTGGATGCGCTTGGTGGTGAAATTGGAAAGATTGCTGATAAGTAATGTCCTCAAATCTCCAAGGTTTTCATTTTTGATAATTGTTCTTTTGCTTTGGGAAGCAATAGCATAAAAGCAAAAAGTGTATGTGAATATAAAACCAAATATAATATTTTTGAATGATTAAAAAGTAAAAAAGTTAACTATTCTGAGATTTAAATTCTGTATAGAACAATTATGTTTGAATGTTGTGTTCCATTTTAGCCATTTGCTCATATTTGATGAAATATGATTTTGTTTTTTACCAACATTTTAGGAAGAACAACATATATAGTAAAAGCAACAATCTCATTTTAATTGTTGATTACCATATTAACATGTTTTAAGTGAAACATAATCCTATCCTCAATCTCATTGTAGCCTGGATGGCAATTAGTTCTTCTTTATGTTATCGAAACGGTTATAACCCTCTTCATTTTTTACTTTTTGTACCTATAGGTGCTATTTACAAAAGCGTGTTCTCAATGCTTCAAGAGGTCCTGCTGTTCGGGCATTGCGTGCACAAACTGACAAAAGGGAATATGCAATGCAAATGAAAAATGTGGTAGAGAGGCAAGCAACTTTCGGTTTATTACTTTTTACACTTCCATTTATAGCATCAATTATCAAAATTGTATTTCTAAACTGTAGTTTAATTTATTTTGTTGAAAGTAAACCTCAATTTTGGAACAGCATTAACACTATCTGACCAGCTGATTAGCTTACCTATTCATGATGTTTCCCACTTATAGTTGGGAAATATATCTTATGTGAGCATTTATGATTGAATTGTTATAATATTCAAAGGCAATTGGTAGAGTTGATAATGTTGATATTAGAAAATTGTGACAAAAAGGTGTAAGTTCACATAGAAAGAAGGAGATGGGGAACTTAGAGAGTTCCAAATACGCACTTAATCTCTACAAACCATCTATACCTTGTAGGAGACTAGGAGTGACATGTTTTGATATAAGTATTTTATCTTAGAGATACAGACCTGAGATAAATCAGATGTTGTGATGAAAATATATGTAATTTTAATTAAACAACTTTGAAAAGTTGACTCTGTTAGTCCTTCCTTGCCTAGTGTTTACAGATTCAATTTCTGAAGGAAAAATAGTTCAGTATAATGGATACCATGTTTTGTATAACAAACAGAGGCATGGCATTCCTTTGTTTTTAATTATCTGATATTTACAGATTTAGTTTATGTAGGAGCATGTGCATTCTGTTTAGATGATGAAAACTGGGCCATATGCTCTCTGTTAAGTCAATGAATAAATAAAGTAATAAATAGACAAGAAGGGGTGGAAAGAAGAAGCATATTATGAGAAGGAAACATAGCTCTAGAGAGAAATAGAGAGAGGGCATGGATAAGTCAGTTATTATAGTAGCCCTTTCCTTACTCTTGCAGAAAGCCATGTTGTCCTGTTTATGTAAAACTTGAAGTACAGCTAAAAAGATTTTAAAATTATTGAAAAAAAGGGTGATATCTAAGACATGGCCAAAAGCCATCTCTTCCCGTCCAAATAAGCATGCTTGAGTTCCATAGGCTTGCAACTGAGCAAGGGTGCCTTGCCTGGAGAGTGTGAGGTGCTTTTGATGTTTAGCTTGCCTTATCATCTGGGTGAATGCCTTGACTACCTCAGGCGTTTATTTTTCACATTCGTAGTTTAACTTGATTTTACTGATATTTTTTTTGAAAGTTGATTTTTTTGATATTGATTGGTCCATATAGTTATTAGAGAAATTGAAATAGTATACCAACAGCTTTTGGTAGTTGAGATCTTTTGTTTGCCCAAATCAGGTTCTATCAATTTGGTTACCACTTTTTGCCTACTTTGTGCCAGATATCTATGTTTTCAATAATTGAACATGCCCACATTCATGGATGAATATTTTGTTTATTTGCTTTTTTCTAACCACTGGATTGGCTTCTATTTTCAGCACTCCAAATCTCTCAATTAGAGAGGCGATGGTGACAGATATTTTGCTCGGAAAGAATGACAATGTCGAAGGTGTTTGCACATTTTTTGGAATGAACTTCTATGCCCCTGCTGTTATTCTGACAACTGGAACTTTTATGAGTGGTAAAATATGGGTTGGTAGAACTTCTATGCCTGCTGGAAGAGCTGGTGAGTCCGCATCGCATGGGCTGACTGAAAACTTGCAGCGTCTTGGATTTGAAAGTGATCGATTAAAAACTGGAACCCCGGCACGAGTGGACTGCCGTACTGTTGATTTTTCTGGATTGGAGCGTCAGCATGGAGATGAAGAGGTCCTTCCATTTAATCTCATAAGTAGGTTCAGTGGATTAAAATTGTATGATTTAAGATATTAAATCACGGTTCAAAGTTTGCAACCTGCTAAAAGATGCATAATTTAAAAAATCTTGGGCCACGTAGTAAAATTATTACATTCATGTAATGAGATGGGCAAAGTTTCTATTTTCACCAAAGTGAGAATAGAACTTTCTAGTTTCAATTACACATAGCACTGTATTTTGCCCAGAAGGGACGGGCTGATTCCAGGAGCAGATAATTTCTGGTTTATGTTTTTTACCTTGATTAGAAGAACTACCTAACAACACAAGGTTTCATCATGCAATACTGTTAACTTGTAGGCTGCTTAGAACGTATTGTACCTTTACCTTTTAGTGGTTAATTGCAGTAGAAAGTTACTGGTATTTGTCGTTCTTATTATTGTTTTTAAAAATGTGAATAATATTTGCAGGTCACCTGGTTTAGTTTTGATCCTGATTTCCACATTGAAAGGGAACAAATGTGTTGTTATCTGACACGAACTACAAAGATTACCCACCAGCTTATTAAGGACAACTTGCATGAAACTCCTACCTATGGAGGATGGATTGAAGCTAAGGGGCCTAGATACTGCCCTTCCATTGAAGATAAGGTAAGCTTTATATTGTTTGGGTTATACTTTTATTGGTTGAACTAGCACTGAAAAGTCATTTTATGCTGTGTAGTGCTAGATTTATGCTTGAGTTCAGTTTTCACTAGTTGAAGTCATCCCTTTTAGTTTTTCACTCTTATCATGTGCTTCTTAGAGTTCCACATGATATCTTAAGTTCTTAAAGAAATAATAATTTCACTTGTATTCATTATGTTATACGATTATACTTTTTTTGGTTGAACTGGCATTGAGCAGTCATATTATGCAGTGTAGTGCTATATATATGCATGGTGTTTCACGTATCCCTAGTTGAAGTATTCCCTTTTATTTTTTTCAGTCTTACCGTGTGCATCTTTGAGTTCTACATGATTTCTTAAATTTTTTAAGGAGCTACTACTTTTGCTTGAGTTCATTGTGCTTTAAGATTGTGAATTTTCATGTACATCAGTTTAAAACTAGTAGCAAGAATTCTTTGTCATACGGTGTGGCTAAACTCTAAGTTGTGCCTATATATATTATATGTTGACAACTTATGCTTGAGAAGATTCGTACTATCACTGGAACTTTTATATGTTGACCATATACTCATCTGATAGTATATCTATAGTTGACAATTTATACTAGAGAAGATTCGTACTATCACTGGAACTTTTATATGTTGACCATATGCTCATCTGATAATTTATCTAGAACTCTGGCTTTTCTTACTCTTAATCTTTTTTATATGCACGAGCTACCCATTAGCTTACACAAAGCGACTGCATTTTTTTCCTTCCCAGTGATCATCAAGTGTTTGAAAAGAAATGCTGCTGATTAATTTTTGCTAGGTGCTGTGTAAATCCATGCTTGTATAGTTTTATGGACTTACCTCAACTAGTTTCATGCAGTTATGAAATTTGTTATGGAAGTAAAAACTGCAGTATCTCATCAAGTTATAATCTGATAATAGATTAAAGAATCTTCCATGTCTTTTAGCCTTTTCAAAGGAGTGATGTTTTTAAAATGGTTTAAGGCTGCTACTCCATTGCTGGTTCAACCTTGTTTGTTGATAATGTTTTTCAAGAAAAGAAATTTTTCTATTTAAGCATTTGAATTTTCTGAATAATGTAACTCGCTCTTGTTACATATTTTTCCCATTGGTTTCTTTAGATTGTGAGATTTCAAGACAAAGAGTCTCATCAGATTTTTCTTGAGCCAGAGGGTCGGACTGTGCCTGAGCTCTATGTCCAGGTAATGCTTTTGTGCCTCTACCAATAATATGGGGTAAATGGGGCAAAGATAATTTC